GAATTTGGTCGGATTGAGAGCCTTTTTGAATTTCGTTATATTGAGAATAATTGAATTTGGTCGGATTGAGAATAATTCAATTTGGTCGAATTGAGAGCCTGTTATTATGTCGTGACTTGTTGTCCTATTTTCCGATTTACGCCATGCTGTATGTATGCTGCCCATGCCCATTTATGTTCAAATTACACGTTACAATTTTTGGGAAAACTAGCCCAAGGACAAACTATGTTAAGAATGTATTAGATCAAACAGTGAGTAAATCTTACCTATAAACATGATGAATGTGTTGTATCTGTACAACAAAACCACACAACTATGTAAAATAGTTTGAAACTTTTTATTAAATATATTTATAGCATATTACATACGCGTATGTTCATCGTACATGTTTGTATAATTTTTTAAATATTAATTTTATAATGTATTTATGTATAACTAATAAAGTCATTGTAAGTAAAGTACTGCATTTATTATTTTACATACATCCCCATATAATAATTTTTGTAGTCTTATGAAAAGCAGAATTTCCATTCTTGTATTCCACGACCATTTAATATGCCTGATATCCAGGCTGCTGGAGGTACTTCGGCGTAGCCATATTGTATTTACCTACCATGCTGCCGGACATCACAAAAAAAAAGAGGTGAAAACTTTCAACAAATTTTCTATAGATAAAGCAAGCTCATAGTGAAAAGCCAGATATGTATTCCTTCCCTTTTTATATATCTAAAGCGGATGCTGCATCGCTTCAAAATGGTGTCCTCCCATTTAGGTGATGTTTTTGGTTCTTCTGAATTAACTTTCCAAAGAAGAAAGGCGAATCTCGCATAAGAATTACATTCACTTTTAATTATGTGGATCAACCTTAAAAGTGCAAATAAAACAAGACCAATTCAAATTTGACAAACGAGAGGAATTCTTTGCTCAAAGCGTACATGTTTTACATATCAGTTATTGATAACCTTAGCATGGGTTTGTATATGTTTTTTGAATCCGGACATATACTTAAATGCCTTCTGGCATGCACTTGTAAGGACGAAGCCCAAAATGAACACGTATATGTACGCGTAGATTGTCCTTCCTTTTAAATAATTTACCACACTCGGACAAGTATGCAAGTTTCCATCACTGTGTTCTATTAGACGACATTTTAAAGTGTCTACTCTTCTGAAGACCTTTTTGCAGAAACTACATTTAAACGGCATATCATAGGTATGAAGGTGGCTATGTTTTACTAATCTGTGTTCGCCAAAATACGATATACCGCAAGACGAGCATATAAAAGGCGGTTTTTTCGTTTCACCTTCAAAATGTGCTCTTTTTGCATGCCTATGCAAATCATTTTTGTTACTATAGCGCTTTGGATGTTTGGCGCAACAGAATATTCGTTTGAAGTATGCTGTTATTGCTTCTAATTTATGTGTTGCTTTTAAATGATATATCACTTCAGTCTTACGGGGAGTCTGGAAATTGCACAACTCACAAGAGACCGTCTTTGCTTCCAAGAAACAACAAGAAATAACAAGAAAACTTGTGGGCTTCTAAGGTTTTTATATTGTTAAAGACCTTATTACAATTATCACAAATTTGCGGCAAGTCGGAATCGTGCTTCTCTTCACCCTTTGCCGTCGATGAACTTTTGCTGATAGCACTGCAT